TTGTTCGATTCGCCGGTCACTGATCGCCCCGCTCCGTGGGCTGTCCCTTTGGATCCACCCTCTCGCTCAGAAGTCGAACGTGAGATCGGACTGTTGAAGTTGAACAAAGCCGCGGGACCAGATGATCTTCCTCCAGCCCTCTTCAAATTTGGAGGCTCTGCTCTTGTTGATGCTTTGCATGAATTACTAGTGAAACTGTGGGAGCAGGAAACTGTCCCAACCGACTGGAGCCGCTCCGTTATTGTTCCCATCTTCAAAGGAGGCTCGCGTTCGGAATGCGGCAACCATAGATGAATCAGTCTGATCTCCATCGCCTCCAAATTACTCGCGTCCATAATTCTCCACAGACTGACTGGCGCTCGTGAAAGCCAGATTCGTGAGGAGCAAGCCGGGTTTCGTCGGGGTCGTGGCTGCATCGACCACATCTTCACCTTGCGTCAGTTGTTGGAGCATCGTCACACATATTGGCGGCCCACCGTAGCCGTGTTCCTCGACATCAAAGGTGCCTTCGATTCGGTTGATCGGTGTGCCCTTTGGAATTATCTACTCAGGAAAGGTGTGCCCGAGAAATATGTAAATATTATCCAAGCATTATATGCGCGTAGCACGGGCAGAGTAAGGGCTTTCGGCAAGCTGTCGCCACCCTTCAATATCTCCAGCGGTGTGAGACAAGGATGCCCGCTGTCACCTTTCCTATTCAACTTCGCTATTGACGAAGTCATGGAGATTGCATTTACAGGACATGACTTGGAATGTGTGGAGCTACTCCCAGGAGAACGACTCCTTGACTTAGAGTATGCAGACGACATTGCCCTCATCTGTGACAGCTCCCAGACGTGTCAAGCCGCGCTGGACAGATTAGCACTGGCTGTCAGCCGCTTCGGGCTTTGCTTTGCACCACCGAAGTGCAAAGCGTTCCTCCAGGATTGGCAGGGTTCGCCCCCTGTGCTGACCCTTGGTGGGGATCAGCTAGAAGTCGTTCAGAAATTAAATTACCTGGGAAGTTGTATCAGCGCCCTTGGGATCGAAGACGAGATCACGAACCGCATAGCGAAAGCTCGAAGTGCTTTTGCTAACCTTCGCCACCTATGGCGACGGCGCGACATTACTCGCCCTGGAGGGTAGAGTGTACAATGCAGCGGTACGTTCGACCTTACTGTACGGTTGCGAATCCTGGCCCCTAAGATCGGCGGACATGAAGAGGCTACTTACGTTCGACCATCGGTGCCTTCGCAGTTTGGCTCACATCTGGTGGGAACACCGCGTGAGTAACGAGCGTATTCGACGCCTTGTTTACAGCCTAGGAAAAGGGAATGAACCGCTCAGCACCGTCATTTCACTCACCAGGCTCCTATGGCTGGGCCACGTGTTGCGAATGCCAGCCCACCGACTCCCTCGACGTGCGTTGTTTGCTCACCTGGGATGTGGGTGGAAGAAGAGGAGAGGTGGCCAAGCGATGACTTGGTCCAGAGGAATGAAGGCCCTCACTTCGGAGCTGGCCTCAGTTGGAGCTTCACGGCTCCCTGGTTGGGGTCCAAAAGACGGTGAACACGTTTGGTTGGATACACTTGCTGATATGGCAAGGAGCCGACCTCAGTGGCGTTCCTGCTGTGAGTTTCTTTGTCCCTCCTCATCCCTTTAGCCTCCCCCTCCATCTACGATCTTATTTCGTAGGGTAAAACGTAATTAAATTTTTGTTTTTGCCTGGTAGCCGGCTAGTAGCTTACCGGAACGATGCCTATCCGTTGCTGGTAGTTCAGCTGGCATTCAACTGTCGTATTTATTTTTCCTTTATGTATTGTATGTATGTATGTATTTCCTTTATGTATTGCGGTACAATAGCGGAGGTGTTTTACCATCTCTAGCTGACATGTATAATGATGATGATGATGACTATTCTTTTAGACTGATGTCATTACACACGTAGACCTCCTCCTTTATGCACCACAACAAGTACCCATCTGGATCCATTCCAGTACAAACGTCTGCTCTTCGGAATTTATTCAGCCTCGGTTATATTCCAAATGATCATTGATAACCTGCTTTAAGATATCTTTTTTAGTCGCATCTATGTTGACGATATTCTGCTCACAGGACGCACATACACTGAACATTTGCAACGCTATCCACTGCGTTCTAGTGTCTACAACGGAAGTTCAGGAGTACATTTGTCTCGATTTCCCTACGTTACTTGGATTATCGACTATCTAAACATGGACTCCGCCTGTTAGAAGATGAATTTAAACTTTTTTTGAATCTGAACCCAGGAATGAAGCTGAACTTCGTTTTTTTGTGGGATGTTTTCTCATTACCGTCACTTCTTGCCTAGTGCCCCAGCAGTATTTGCGCCTTTGTACAAATTGTTGGACAAGCATTATACGGGATTTCGGATCCGGGTCAAAGCAAAGAGAGCGCTGGGCGCCTCCCCGTTCATTGTGCATTTTGGATCGAGACTGGCTGTATGGCTGCAGTGTGAGGCATCCCCACTCGGAGTAGGTGCACTCCTTTGCCACCGGACGGATGACCCTTCCCTTCATTTAGTAGCTTTTGCTTATCGCATCCTGCAACCCGCTGAAATGAATTACTCCGAGCTGAACTGAGAGACTTTAACGATTTTCTGGGTTACATTTCCACTAGTACTTCTGCAAAAGACAGTTCTGTATCCACACGGACTATAATTCACTTTTTTCGTTATTGGACGAGAAGAAAGGAATCCAATAGATGTTTTTCTCGAATGCAGAAGTGGGTGCTACGATTGAGCGCCCATAACTACAAACTCCAATATGTAAACGGATCTAGTGACTACTGTCGACACAATGACTCGCTTCTCGCAGCAGCATGGCATGGAGTTTATCAATCTGATGTAATATTCTGAAAGACATCCATCCGGAATGAAGTGGTGCGGCGC